GACATTCCGACTATCCTTGCACACTCCACAATGGGAAGTAATGAACATTCCTAGCAGCAAATGCCTACTGGACAGAACTGTGCAAAACGCATTATCACAGTGATTATTCTGATGCGCGCCTCTGGTTTTTTTATTTAAAAAAGAAGAGATCTTGGATTGTAAAGAGCTTTTTGTCTTAAAATTTCTCTTCGAATTTTTTTCAGCCCGAGACATCCGGGTATTTGTGCATTACCGTACATCACTTATTGTACTGATGAAATTTTTACCTGGGTACTCTGTTTTCATGATCTTTTACATGTAGTATTTTGCAGATGAATACAGCTGTGCGATGGCGACCAGCTCGTATGACTGCGACTATGATAAGCCGTATTCGCCGGAATCTCTTGAACCGGGAGACAATGATTTGGGCGCGATCTATACGCCATCACCGGTACGGCATTGCGCGAGTGCCACAGCTACATCGAGAAACGCTGTATCGCAAGCAGATGGTGAAACAGATGGCTCATCGTCAAGTGTTATTATCGATTTGGATGATGCCGGCTCGACAACCTCAAGCGTCAAAGCCTCCTCCCATACCGAAGAGGTATGAAAAAAAAAAAAAAAAATCGAAAAGAATTTGCTTTTAAAATTAAAAAAAAAGCACGCGAATAGCATTCTCGGAAGAGCGGCGTGGATGATGGTCAGAAATCTGTGATTTTTTTGTGAGCGAAGAAATTTGCAGATTTTAGTCTTTTTAATCAGATCGGCTTGATGGATTGTCCAGAGCGCGTTCAGGAACGGATTCAGGCCATGTTCAAATGATGGTTTAGGTCGTCTTATGAAAGGAGACCTTTTTGTTTTCGAAGTAGATTTTGCGCTTTTTTTTTTGTCGGGCGAGCTGATGTTAATATTTAGATCGCTGTGATTGATTGGTTTTTCTTTTTTTGCTTTAAAAGTTCAAATTTTTGCGGGTTGAAATTATTGCTTGTTCGAATTGATGATTCACGAAAATGCTTATAAATTCATGTTATGTCGTTGTAGCGTTATACGCCTTTTAGGAAACAGAAGGGAACGACAAGACGGAGGAAGAAGTGGAAGTTGATGACGATGGTTTCGGAGAAATAATCGCAAGTGCACTGATCGAGCAGCTTGCAACTACCGCTGAAAGTGAGGTACGGCGTCGACCGTACGGCACTTCGGTTGGACATGATTGTGACGAACTGCGAAATATGTTAGCAGTTGCTGTTCGACAGGACAAGCATGAGCGGGAACTGCGCAAGGTAAAGTTATTGCTTGCACTTTGTTTGAGACTCTTAACGGTAAGCTGTTTCTTTATT